CTGTGACCATCATACCATAATAAAAAGATTGGGAGGAAACACTAAACAATTTATGTCTTAACTCACTCGCTATTTCCTTTCAATATTCGATCAATCATTAAAAAAAAAAATCAATTGTTTTATTCTTTTATATCCAGATACCAGTAAATATTTGGTATTTCTTATTTTTTTTTTCTTAAAGTAAATTCAGATGTCCTTAAGATAAATTCAGATTTCCTTAAAATAAATTCAGATTTCCTTAAAATAAATTCAGATTTTTTTAAAGATAAATTCAGATTTCCCTAAATTAGAATAAGATCTTCCTAAAATAGATTAATATTCCCCAACAATAAATTCAGATTTCCTGATTTCCTTAACATAAACTAAGATTTCCCTGCAATAATTTAAGATTTTTCCCAATAATCTCAGATATCCTTAAATAAATTCAGATTTCCACAAATAAATTTAGATTTCCTTAAAATGACTTTATACATTAAAAAAAATCTGCTTAATACATCATAAATTATACCACATCTCACACAATCCCTAAAATATTCGATAAATTAATTCATTCCAATCTAATTTATCACATTATTTTACCTCAATACTGTGTCTCCTATATGATTCCTTAAATACAGTTCAAATTTATTCTATACATCATAAGGTATAATTTATCCCATATACGATCTTGACGTTCCCTAAAATACATGAATAAATTATATATTCTTTTTGCTTGGTTTATTTTAACGTCTTAATTATGTCCTTCAGGTAAATTACCATCTACCTTAAACGACGATGAATTCAATACTTAATTTTATTCTTACCTAAAATAAATTCACCCAAATCCCTTAAATGCACCAGAGATCAAATACTAGTGTTCTGATAGATTTATTCCCTAAAATATACTTAAAGTCAATTATAAATGATACCTAAAATAGTGTCTGTATATTTGTTAGTCTTGTTCCCTAAAATAAACTTTAAAGTATTTCATATTGTATTAAATTTATTCAAAGTTGTCTGGTTACCTAAAATATACCTCAAATCTATTTTACAATGTATTGAGTTTATTCCCTAAAATACTGTATATCTTAAATTTATTTCATACACCCTTAAAGGAACAAAAATCTTATCACGTTGTGTTTCAAAAATTAGTTGCCAAGATGATCACGACTTTTCCGGCGGATCCTTGGCTCTCTGGCACAGCTGGTCGACCTGGATGACCCCTGGATGACCCCTGGATGACCTGTGGGGAAGTATGACACCGTTGGATGATCTCTTGGATGAGGATGACGAAGTTGGTTGCCCCCTGGGTGACCTTTGGAGGAAGTATGACACCGTTGGATGATCTCTTGGATGAATGACACAGCTGGTTAACTTGGATGACATCAGGATGACCTCTGGATAACTTCTGGGATTCTGGGATGAGTAAGACACCACTAGATGACTTGAGAAAAGTTTAACCATTCTCTCCCCTTCTCTCTCGTCTGAGTTTGTGTCTCCCCTCTATCTCTTCCTCCCCCCCTCTTCCCCCTATCTCTCCCTCCCCCCTTCTTCCTCCTCTCTCTCCCCACTACGCTGGTTGACCTCCATCAGAGCGCTGGACCACATCACTTAGGTGGAAGGGAGCGGCCCGTCCGTTAGCCCGACCAGCCTGCAGGAGGAAGAAGCAGGGTGGTGACTAGGTTGTGTTGGCCACTGGCGATCAAGACCCAGATATGACCTTTGGTATATCATGGCGTCTGTGACCTGTTGGTGGGGAGAGAAATGTCATAGAGATCTAGCCTACTGTATATATATATATTTAGAAGTCCTCTCCTCCCACCCCCTAACAAGAGAGGCTGTAAGGAGGGGGGGAGGAGGGGGAAGGGGTAGGAATATACTGTATAAGATTTGAATCCGTCCGCCGTGGTTCTGATCCCTTAAGTTAGGTTAGGTTTAGGACTGAATCTCATATAACCAGTCTCCATATTGATCAAGTAAATGATCTGTAGACGAAGATAATTACATAATGAAAGAATTTATTGAAGTAATTTATGATGACGAAGATGGTACCATTGTAATTTGGAGAGAATAATGACAAGGCGCTTAACATAGGGTGTAGTACATTGTCCATAACACAGCATAGAGGCCCTTGATATACTGTATATTGAAGGTATTATTACTTATATATTCCCTCGTCACAAATAAAATTAAATTGTTTGGCGCACTGAGGTGAGTTATATTAATCATTTCATATAATTTGTAAGATAATTGATAAAAGGATTACGATGAAATTTATAGAGGTATGAAAGTAAACGCGTCCTTAATCTAACCCAACCAGACCATTAAGATTAGATCCCTATTTAATGGGTTCTGATCCTCGTGGCTTTAATAGGTTACATAAAGACTATTTCAATCTAGGTTCCAATCATAGTATACTCCCACAATCAAACGATTCCTAATCTTCTTGGTTCCAATCCTGAAAGTGAGATTGGGTCCCATAGATATGATTTCTCGTTTAGGACAGTGTAGATACAACCTGCTGTACACTTATCCCCTTCAGGCACTCGGGTAAACAGCGTGACCGGCACTGCACTCGACCGCCGTTACTTCCTCATCTGCCAAATGAGGTATTCATTCACAGCTGGTGGCAGATGGAGTTCTTTTTCATTATGATTCCTAATGGGCGTGAACAATCCCTGTGTGGGCGTGAACAATACGTATGTGGACCTGAACAACACCTGCTCGGACCTGAACAATACCTATCCGGGCTTGAACAACACCTGTGCGAATCTGAACAACACCTGCGCGAATCTGAACAACACCTGTGTGAATCTGAACAACACCTGTGCGAATCTGAACAACACCTGTGCGAATCTGAACAATACCTGTGTGGACCTGAACAACACCTGCACAAACCTGAACATCACCTGTGTGGACATAAACAATACGTATGTGAACTTGAACAATACCCGTGTGCACCTGAACAGCACCTGTGAAGAACTGAACAACACGTTAATGAGAGGAGTTGTCTCGTCTCTTAAGAAATCATACCAGGTGACCTTCCTGTCGGGCAACAAGGCGGAAAAAAGGTCACGGCAGAGGTCACGGCAGAGGTCAACATTAATCTCGACAAAGTTGGGCTTCAACCTCACCTTGACAGGGAAATAGCAGCGACTCTCTATAGTTAAGCTTGGATAATGAAGGACATGTGTGTGTGTGCTGTATGATAATATTAAGCTTGTGTCTGTCTGTCTGTCTGTGTCTGTCTGTCTGTCTGTCTGTCTGTCTGTCATTTAATAAGCTTGTGAGTCTCCGCGTGTGTATATTTGGGTATGTATATGTGCACGTGTATGTATGTCTGCCTGTATATGTGTGTGGGTGTAACCTTTAGAGACAGAGAGATACGTTATGAAAATTAACTGCTTTCCAAATAAGGTCACGACCCGGTCTGGTCATGATGCATAGACAAGATTGAGGTGTAAATCAGGTTGTAAACATGAAGGCGTAAATGATTTAATAGTGTATTGTGAGGTTAGGTTAGGTTAGGTTAGGTTAGGTTAGGTTAGATTAGATTAGGTTAGGTTAGGTTAGGTTAGGTTAGGTTAGGTTAGGTTAGGTTGATATTGATAAGAGAAACAAATTAACTGAATAATCTGCTTTGTAAATTAAGTCACGACTCAACCTTGTAAACCAAAAAGACGCATCGTGATAATGTGTAAATACGCTAATGAGTTATAAATTAAGAGATGCAAATTAATTAGCAAAAATAAAAAATACTTATAAAAATTAAATACTTCCTACAGGTAGAATGTGATTTTGAATTCGCTAATTAGTTGTTTAGACAAAGGTGTAAAATAATCAAATAATTCTCTACGTTGTTGGGAAGGTTTTAGAAATCTCAAGTCTCTGAGGGAATTAAGTCTGGGAAATTAGTTAACTATCTGAATAAGGTCACAAGATAACCCTTGCGTGAGATGCAAACTCGACGAAGTGTAAACTATTTAATTGTAAATGTTGAGGCTAATGTGTTGACTTTCTAAGGAGGGAGAAGGAAGGAAGGATGGAAGGAAGGAAGGAAGGAAGGAAGGGGGATGAGAAGAAAAGGAGGGAGAAGGAAGGAGGGGAGTGGGAGGTAGTATGAAGGATGGTGGGGAGAGTGGGAGGTGGAAGGAAGGAAGGAAGGGGAGGGAAGTACCAACACCTGTCAGGGGGAGGTCAGGGAGAGGTCAGGGGGAGGTCAGGGGGGTATCTAAACTTCAGGTGTACACAGAACCAGGTGTAAGCTGGTTGTAAATTTAGGCTCGCAAAATAATAAGTCTTTGGGTGGAAGATGAAGATGGAGAGGAGGAGGAGGAGGAGGAGGAGGGGAAGAAAAAAGGAACAGAAGGAGGAAAAAAGGAAGGAAAATGAAGGGTTGAAGGAGGAGGAGAAAAAGATAGAAGAAGAGAAGGAGAGGAGGATAATGAATAGAAACTGGTGAGAATAAGGAGTAGGAGGAAGAGGAGGAGGAGGAGAAGGAGGAGGAGGAGGAGGAGGAGGAGGAGGAAGAGGAGAAGGAGGAGGAGGAGTAGCAAGAGGAGGAGGAAAAAAATTATAACCATCAGTCACATCGTCTGAAAATACCACTTTATCCCGTGTTAATCATATTGTCAAGGAGGTGTTGGCTGCTGTCTGCTGGCCTAGTAACCAATCTTTCTTTTTTAAGCAAATTATTAATACTGTGTGTGGGTCAGGGAACTAGTATGACCACTTAAGACTAGGATTCACTTGCCTCTTATAAACTTCCTTTCTCTTCGTGCTCGATCGTCCAGCCAACAAGAGACAAAGTGGCGGGTAGGTGTTGATGCCGTCTCGAAATACACCACCTGGCATGTACCCGGATGTGGAGGTCACCCACTTTGAGTTCTTGCCCAGAGCAGAAGGAAAAGTCAATCCGCCCAAGAACTTGTCCTGCTGCCCTAGGAGTGGCCCCTCAGGACCTTGGGTCACTCCAAAAGAAGAGGGAACAAAAACTGTGACGCGCTCCCGGGATGCCCTGCCCAGTGGGTGTATATATAGCGCGTCTTCGGCAGCTAGACATCATCTTCGTCTGGGTCCTCGTTCTCTCAACATGAAGCTCGTGAGTAAATACAAACAGGTGGTTCTAGTAGAGTATAAGCTATAATAAGGCAAATGTATAACTAAATGCCCAGTTTAATCTTGAAAATTAAACCAAAAATTCAACCTAATGTGAAAACTGTCAAGAATTGGTCCTTTGCTGTTATACATTAATACTGGCTTAATTTACTAAGGTACTATTATCGTTTCTGACATATTGAGGCTACACTGGGTCGTATGAGTTAATGTTTACTCAAGAAAACACAATACTTTATCATAGTTCACCTTACTGATAACCTGATACGCCTTTTAAGACTTGAGCTGATATGTCAACTGTCACAGTACCCTGCCTCTGTACACATACCAGTACATGAAGAGGTGTACACATACCAGTACATGAAGAGGTGTACACATACCAGTACATGAAGAGGTGTACACATACCAGTACATGAAGAGGTGCACACATACCAGTACATGAAGAGGTGCACACATACCAGTACATGAAGAGGTGTACACATACCAGTACATGAAGAGGTGCACACATACCAGTACATGAAGAGGTGTACACATACCAGTACATGTACACATACCAGTACATGAAGAGGTGCACACATACCAGTACATAAAGAGGTGTACACATACCAGTACATGAAGAGGTGTACACATACCAGTACATGAAGAGGTGTACACATACCAGTACATGAAGAGGTGCACACATATCAGTACATGAAGAGGTGTACACATACCAGTACATGAAGAGGTGTACACATACCAGTACATGAAGAGGTGTACACATACCAGTACATGAAGAGGTGTACACATACCATTCCATAAAGAAGTATACCAAAGAGAGAACTCCTGGTATTATACAGTACAGGAGTGACTTAGACTATTATGATCACTGGTATGGCAGGAACTATACACTATTACCATTACCGATGGACAATAAGCTCTTAGTGTGTCTAGTGTTATCAATACCTGCTGACATTGTTCTCCCTCTCTCTTAATCAACCCAGGTAGCTGACGTTGATGTAAACTTGTTACTAGAGATACACTGAGAGATGTTATACTTGTCTTTTTTCAGATGTTTCAAGTGTATTGATGTTGTTATTATTATCTTCTAGTTTGTTAAAGAATTTATTCCTGAAATATTTTGAAGTTGATATTGATTGTATCTGTGTTATGGTTATTATTATTATTAATGTTCGGTTTCTCTGAGTTTGAGATTTGAATACAGTTAATAGAAGAAAAAACACAGACTTTGATAAACTGATGGACAGGTAAGAAATGGTTAGATCTGGAGATAGAGAGATAGATAAGATAGAACGATATAGCTTCAACATTCTTCCTGATATCTATTAACACTCCTACTCTCTCATGCTATCCCAGATCATCATCGCCTGCCTCGCCGCCGTCGCCATCGCCTCGCCACAGTTCGGCAGTGGTAGCTTCAGGAATCGCCCAGCCCCATTACCTAGACAGGATTATCGCCAAATCGCCATCCTCAGTGACAACCGCGTCGACCAGGGTGATGGAAACTTCCGCTACGAGTTCGAGTCTGAGGATGGAACGAGCGTGAGTGCTGTGGGCCGACCCGGAGCAGCTGGCCAGAGCAACATCGAGGGTTCCTACAGGTAAGAATCATACTGGTGGTCCTCGTGTGTTACAAGTATCCTCATATGTTGGATGCTACTTATATTACGTTAAATATCCTTATATCATGATGTTTACTACTTATATCACGTTAAATCCCCCTATATCGTGTTCTATGCTACTTATATCACGTTAAATCCACTTATATCGTTGGGTGTTAATTATATCACGTAAAATCTCCTTATATCATGTTGGACGCTACATATATTACGTTAATTATCCTTATATCATGATGTTTGCTACTTATATCACGTTAAATCCCCTTATATCGCGTTCTATGCTACCTATATCACGTTAAATCCCCTTATATCGTGTTGGATGCTGCTTATATCACATTAATTATCCTTATATCATGTTGTATGCTACTTAAATCACGTTAAATCTCCTTATAGCATAATGATCATCCTGGTGATTCTTAATTATATCGCGTTTTATACTCTAATTATACAACGTGATCTAGTTGCAAAAAGTAGATGGTAGTTATAGAGGTGTTCCTATCGCGTTGTTATGTCATATAGAATATATGACTTATTATTCTTGTTATATCACGTGATTTATGTGTTATATCCTTGTTATAGGCCTATCACCCGCTATATTCTAATTATATAGGATTCTGCCCATGTTTCGCGTTACATCGCTTGATTCTTGTGTTTTATTCTCGTTATATCATATTTGTGCTATAAATCAGTAAATAACATGACCTTAGTGTTATGAATTAAAAGATTAATTCAATTACTTATAATAAGACATGATCTGAGTAATAAGACATGATCTGAGTAATAAGACATGATCTGAGTAATAAGACATGATCTGAGTAATAAGACATGATCTGAGTAATAAGACATGATCTGAGTAATAAGACATGATCTGAGTAATCAAACAGATACGTTCAACTCCCATGACTTCACTCCCGTTATTCTCACCCTGGTGTTGAATGTTCCAGGTTCCGGCTTGATGACGGAAGCATCGCTGAGGTCCGCTACATCGCCGACGAGAACGGCTTCCGCGCTGAGTCCCCTCTGATCCCGACCCCTCACCCCCTCCCTGCCCACGCCATCGAACAGATCCGCTTTGCCCAGGCGAACCCGTCACGTGAGCTTCCAAATGAACGCAGAAGGTTCTAAGATGTCTTCCCTCCCTCAACCCCTCCTTCAGGACCCTCATACACGCACCATAGCCTGTACAAGACGTCCATATGTCTCCCCGACACTTCACAGGAACACCCTGAGGCTCTGACGACAACAAGGATCGTAGCTTGAGGGTGGCCAGCCGGCATCCCAGGGAATCACCACACACCACCTCGCCTGTAACTCACACTTGCAATGACTAATAAACACATTTCGCATTCAAAATACTTTCACTGATTTCCCAAATATGAGTGTGAACGACTCTATGCCCTTCTCCAGGTTAATTAAACTATAAATACCTTACATCCCTCATGAATGTATACCGCAGGACAACCGAGGCTAAATACCGTAAGACTAAATCATAAACTCATTAGTCCTGAGGTACCCAAGTGGTATTACCTTTCTCCTACACTGTTTACCTACACGCTCGGCCGAACACGAATCACCGAAACACACTTTTACTTCCTATCACAATAAACAGGAAGAATATATCCTCTCGAACTGATAGACTGCAACAGTACAGTCAACCAAATTACTCCTGCTCTTAACACACACACACACACACACACACACACACACACACACACACACACACACACACACACACGAGACCTTATATCATACATGTGGGAGTGAATTTGAATGTGTACAGTAGGTGATAAAGGCTCTCTCTGTGTGTGTTTAAGCATCGTTCTTTACCGTCCCAGCTGTATATTGCACCCTGTCTCAACTACTTATCTTTATTATAGGTAAAAATTTATAACATGTCTATTTTTCTGTCTATCATTAATCTATTTATCGATTTTTTTTTATTTATATACTAATTTTCTATATACTTGTCTGTCTCTCGGTTTGCATATCTTTCTAGCTATATGTCTATCATCCTGTCTATATGTTTAGCTATATATTATAGTGAGTATTGTAAGATCAAACCAAGCCAGTAGAAAAAAAATACATACCGGTTACTATGAGGTTCTTGTTTGTAAAATGTGAGGTTGTATTTTCGCCTCAGGGGCCATTCTAGACACTGCACATGATATTACCACGATCACTGTCTATGTGTGTCATCAGTTCACCGGTATGGAAGCATTGGTCTTGACGGGAGGTGTAATGATTGTTTATCAGACCACAGCTTACAGCTCAGAAAAGAACAACACATATAGCAGTAACTAGATGTACACCCACGTAAGTTGCCTCACCCTACTTTAATTAGAGTGAGCTTAAGACCTGTCCCAACAGAGTTCTCGCCGCCATGTGATGAGACAAGACGGCGACATGACCTTGTTAATTCAAGAAACTGTCCTCCAGCCAGTACACCTTACAACTGGTCAGACACACCCTGGGTAATAATTAAGAAGCATTGCCGACCGGCGAACCACAATAAGCGACATGACCGAGCACCTGATCAAACACCGGTCTAGACTCACCCAGATTAGTGTTAGTTGAGAGAGGACATCTGCCGGCCTGACACCTCCAATTGAAGGGGCCTACAGCTCCTTCCATGAGACAGACAGGGAGAGACAGAATTCAGAGGCAGTGAGTCACAGCACAAGCCCAGCACCAAGTCCCCAGCTAACAGTCTCCCACATAGAGACAGAATCCAGCACCTGCCGGGAACATTCTCTTCAGCAGTGAGTCCCAGCCGCTGCCCCCCCCACCCCCTCAGGTCACACGTGAATCATTGTCAGAGCAATCCATAGGGTGTCATTGTCTAGTAACGTCAATATTAATGTGTCCATGCTATTCAGTTAACTAATAAATAGCTATACTTATATATAATATATATCTTTATCTACCTATTTTATCACCCATTCCGTCTTTATACTTAATATAGCTTAAGGTGTTTATCTATAACTTTATCTACGAATATATCTATTTACTATAAATCTATTTACTTATTCATCAAAATATTTATCAACCATTATTCTCTCTCACTCTTTATCTCTATGTATGTCTGTCCATCTGTTATCTGTGTTTGTCCGTCCATTGTCTCTGTCTGTTCATAATCTCTGTCTGTCCATCTGTTATCTGTGTGTGTCCGTCCATTGTCTCTGTCTGTTCATAATCTCTGTCTGTCCATCTGTTATCTGTGTTGTCCGTCCATTGTCTGTCTGTCCATAGTTTCTGTCTGTCCATCTGTTATCTGTGTGTCCGTCCATTGTCTCTGTCTGTTCATAATCTCTCTTCTGTCCATCTGTTATCAGTCCGGTCCATTGTCTCTGCCCAGTTCTATAATCTCTATCTGTCCATCTGGTTATCTGTGTGTGTCCGTCCATTGTCTCTGTCTGTTCATAATCTCTCTGTCCATCTGTTATCTGTGTTGTCCGTCCTCATTAATTTCAAGTCCTCCGGTTCATAATTTCTCTGGGCTCATCTGTTTGTATTCTAAAGTAAACTGTCCATTGTCTCTGTCTTCAATTTGCTAATTCTAATCAGTCCATCAGCAGCACCTTGTGTGTTTGTCCGGGTCCATTGTCCCTGTCTGTTCATTGTCTCTGTCTGTCCATCTGTTATCTGTAAAAGTCTTCATCCAGCTTGTCTCTTGCTCCGCTCATAATCTCTGTCTGTCCATCTGTTATCTGTGTTTCGTCCATTGTTCTTGCCCACTATAATCAGGTTCATTCATCTGTTATCTGTAAGTTTTGTCCGTCCTGCCGTTTCTGTCTGCCCATACCCTATCTGTCCATTCCGAGCCATTCTGTGTGGTGTCTCCGTCCATTGTCTCTATTCCACCATAGTTCTGTCTGTTCATCTGTTATCTTGTGGGCTACAATCCAGTCCATTGTTCTTGTCTTGTTCGGCGCACTTCTGTCTGTCCATCTGTTATCTGTGTTTGTCCGTCCATTGTCTCTGTCTGTTCATAATCTCTGTCTGTCCATCTGTTATCTGTGTGTGTCCGTCCATTGTCTCTGTCTGTTCATAATCTCTGTCTGTCCATCTGTTATCTGTGTGTGTCCGTCCATTGTCTGTCTGTCCATAGTTTCTGTCTGTCCAGCCATAGTCTCTATTTGTCTGCTCATAATCTCTATGTTCGTCCGTAGTTTCTGTATGTCTGTCTGTAGTCATGTATGTCCATCCAAAGTCTCTGTATGTCCGTGTGTGTGTGTGTGTGTGTGTGTGTGTGTGTGTGTGTGTGTGTGCACAGGGTGGTGTAATGCATCTAGTGTGGCGGCAATAAATTAGTGTTAAGGTGCAAGCACTGCTTGCTCCCTCTCGCTCTCAGCTACCACCGCTGTCTAGCCCTCATGGCGAACAGGGAAGCAACTTGCACAAGTCTTACCCTGCCAATAAAAAGCCTCTTCACCATCAAGACTCCTGCAGTGCATCCATGCTGCTTTAACTGACTGGCAGAACAGCCCTCAGTCTCGGACCAAAGATGATACCTTCCGTAAGAAGAAAGCGATGGCCCAGCACAAACTTCGCAGATCAGCAGAAGATCTACATTTTTTGTAATTTTACTAAAAAATTTTATGGGCCAATTACTCATGGCGCAGCCCTGTTCATCCAGAGGTAACTCCCTAATTAAAGATGAAGAAGGCATCCTTGAGCACTGGAAAGAGCACTCCTTTCGCTGCTCAACTGAAACAACGATGTGGATATCCTGATTACCCAGCAGGCCTCTCAGCATCCACAGCTGACTCACCTCGGCTATCCTCCATCACTGGATGAGGTAGCTACTGCCATCAAACAGATGAAGAATAACAAAGCCTCATGGCCCGGTGGAATCCCAGCCGAGGTGTATAAAGTAGGAGGACCTCTGTTTACCAGCCGTCTCCACTCTCTCCTGGAGAATATATGGGAAAAGGAGGAAATCCCCCAAACTCTTAAAGTCGCCTTCATTGTCAATATTTATAAGAACAAGGGAGATCAGTTAGACTGTGGCAACTAGCTCTGGATCTCGCTGCTGTCCATAGCCAGCAAGATTATCGTCCGAGTCCTCCTAAACAGACTTTTTCCTGAGGGAGAAAACTTCCTCCCAGAATCTCAATGTGGCTTTAGACCATCACGTGACACCACTGACATGATCTTTGCTGCCCGACAGATACAGGAAAAGTGCAGAGAACAGTGTCATGACCTGTACATGTCTTTATCAACCGAACCAAGGCCTTAGACTCGGTCAACAAAGAAGCCCTCTGGCGGACTCTCAGCCGTTTTGGCTCCCCACCAAAATTCATCGCCATTGTGAGGCAACTCCACCATGGCATGAACGGCAGTGTCCTGCACAACGACACCCAGTCAGAGTTCTTCCTCATTCAAAGGGGGTAAAATAAGGATGTATACTGACTACAACTCTCTTTTCCATTTTCTTGGCTGCCTTACTTACTTGTGCCGGCGAGGTGAACATCCAGTACCGTATGAAGGGTCTTTTCAACATAAGACGACTCCAGGCAGGAACAAAGGTGTCTACATCTTCCATTACTGAACTTCAGTATGCAGACGACCTCACTTTAGTTGCTCACACTGAACACGACCTACAGGTGATCCTGAACACCTGCGCAGATGCGTATGTACACTTCGGTTTTGAGGTGAATGTACGTAAGACTCAGATTAATTTTCAGCCTGCCCCTGGTTCAGCCACACCTCCACCACCCATCCAGCTTTACGGTACTACCTCACCTAATTTTACCCACTTTCAGTATCTCGGCTCTCATTTGTCCACCACCGCGGAAATCAATGAAGAGATTCAACATCGGATGAGATGTGCATCTCAAGCCTTTGGCAGACTCCGTACCCATGTCTTTATTTGTAGGGAGCTGAAATTATCTACAAAGTTGCACGTATATCGAGCAGTGGTCCTCTCCACCTTGCTATATGGCAGCGAGACATGGGTCACATACAGGAGGCAACTCAAAGCACTTGAAAATTTTCATCAACGTAGTCTACGTTTCCTCCTCCGAGTGCGTCAGTATTCTCGCTGACACCAACTGTAGGTGCATAGAGGCTACCATTACCCATGAACAACCGCGTTGAACTGGCCATATTAACCGTATGGACGACAGTAGACTGCCAAAGCAGCTACTTTACCGTCAACTAACGAATAGTAAACGTAACGCTGCCGGCAAATGAAAAGGTATAAGGATAGTCTTAAGACAAACCTGAAAAAGTGACAAATAGACCTCACCTGGGAGACGATTACTCCACACCGTAACACTTGGAGAAGCACCACACGAGAAGGTGTAAATACTGTCTAGTTAGTCCGACTGCTTACTTAGGCAGACAAGCAC